TCTTTAGGAATTTTCTAGTTGTATCATGTCATTGTGGTAACAAGTGTACATACAATCGTAAACATAGTTTAAGGTATAAGCAAAACCTTAATTGGCAGCCCTAACTAAAGCTGCTCTTTGCATCTGCACGTGTCAGACTGACGCTTATGTCACGATCATCTCATATGTGATGGATGGTAGAGGTTAGAAAGATTCTCATGTTTTAGACTCGCAAGCATTTGGGTCATGAGACGACTCAAGACTACGGAGGCCCTAATCGCTCATTGATTCAAACTTTTTTGCTGCCGTTCTGTCTCAAGATCCTGAGTTGAAAATTACATAGGGATAACAAACCTTGTTTTCTCACGATAAATGGTTAATTTATCACGTTACCTTGAGAAAATAAAACTGATTTCTCAAATAAATGCTGACTTTATTAGATTCATTAAACTGGACTATGACTTATACACACATCTGCTGAAATTAATCCAATCCTTGTGCTTCCTTTTTTGACGTTGATTAGTGTATTTCTGTAGGCTGCTACTTTACAATAATTATCCATAATGTAAATTCACTCATATAAAATCAAATGAAAACGTCCTTACAGCAATTGGCAGAAGTTCATAAAAAGTTAATTTTGTTTGCTTTAACTCTCCCAGCCCACAGAGCAGTGTGTATATATTCTGGTCCACTCTCATGAATCTTTCTTATGTTCTTACGTCAAGTAATCAGCCTTTTGTTTTGTCAACATAACAACACAAGTTAACCCATTACCACAAGAAATTGTGCTTTGTTAAAAAATAATTAACTTGTGATCTTGAAATAATAAAATAAAAACTTTTAATCTATGTTTTTGGCTTCCGTACAGGATGGCTGAATTGATAGTGTGAGGGATACAAATATCGTGCTTTGACAATGTAGCATTCTATCAATTAAATGTGGGTTTTTAATGATTGAATGATGGACTTTGGGCTTTGTTAAGCCTAAAGAAACAAAAAAAAAAGTGTGTTTTAAAAGACACCAACACACAAGGGAATCTTTCTCTGTCTAGCCTGAAGTTGTGTTCACATTATACTTGAAATGGCTGTTGCACATGCAGAATTATTGAGGGCAGTAGGAGAGTCTGTGGGAGTTATAATGTATTGGCAATCAATTACTAAATTACTAATACTGAGTTCTAGTTTCTACTTATTTGCACATTTTTATGTTTCATGATCTGTTCTGGACGGATGGAATGACTTTTGTAAAGAGCTACTTTCTCACAGCGAGATCAGTGGTTCCCAACCAATTTCCTCAAGGGACCCCTTTTCTATCCTTTATTAAACT